GGCCGCTCTCCCCGCAGGCACCTTCCCCGTGGACCTCACCAAGACGCGCCTGCAGGTGCAGGGCCAGAGCGCCGATGCCCGGTTCCGCGAGGTCCGGTACCGCGGCATGTTCCACGCCCTCTTCCGTATCTGCCGTGAGGAGGGCGGCCGCGCTCTCTACTCGGGGTAAGCACCGGGAGGGACCGACACCCTCCCCCCCTCCCTCCGCCACTGCCCGCCGCGCCGCTCCACCGACCCCCCCCCCCGGGACCCCAGCAGGCCCCCGAGCCGAGCAGGGTGCTGGGGCAGCGGTGCTGCTCTGCAGCCTTGGAGACTCCCGGTTTTCCCGAGGTGGGGAGCGAGGAGTTGCGTGGGTGCCGACCTCCCGCGCTGGAGGGTGCGTGGAGGCGATTCCCAGGTGCTTCTCGGGCGGCCGGCCTTGTTATCGTGGGCGCCTGATAAGAACTGCGCTTCTCGGCAGCGTCTGAGCCGCGGCAGGAGCTGGCCCGGGCTCTGCCCCTTGGAGTTTGGGGGCTGCTGGGGAGTGACTGGGAGGACGACCACTGCGCTGGCGGGGCTCAACGGGTTTTTTTGTTCCCCCCGCTCAGGATCGCCCCTGCGCTGCTGAGACAGGCATCTTACGGCACCATAAAGATCGGCATTTACCAGAGTTTGAAGCGGCTGTTTGTAGATCGCATGGAAGGTCAGCGTCAGTAAACGTGTCAGTACAGGCACCTCTCATCTCGCCAGAGGTGCGGTGCAAAATCTCGTGCTCTCTGTGCTGTGCGGTTTTGCTCCTTCCTTTCTCTGTCCTTCCCGGCTATAGATTCCCACAGAAATGGAGTTCTTGTTACTTTGCGCTGGGGTTTTGTTTGTACAGTAACAGCAAGGATGGGTTTCAACACAGATGTGACTCTCGCTGTGCCTGGCACTGCCCACAGTCCCTAGCCAGACACCTCCCTCTAGCCAGGCCTTTCCTTTCCCCAGCCTTTATCTCTGTCCGACTTAGAGATGGGATACCGCGAATGTTTTTGACCTCTGCGCTCTGGTAATGAGGGCCTCTGCAGCTCCTGCCTAGAGAGCAGAGCAGCAGAAGTCTGGTACGTGTTTGCTGAAGGAGCACCAAGATCTGCATGAGCAGTTTTAAACCCTGGTGTGATATGAGTGAATATCGTAATGCCAGTGCTAGCTGGGAAAGTGAGATGGGCAGTGCGGGCTGGTCAGCAGGCCAGCAAGAGGACCGGGAAGCGCAGCGCGCTAGAGCTTCTTTCCAGGGGCTGCTCTGTTCTCCAGTAACACCTCTCCCTGCGCGTGGTTCTATGCGAGTACACTGGGCTGCACGTCTCTCCTCGCTTGCTGTTTGCAGCATTTCCAGTTGTGAGTACCGTTGTCTGAATGTTTGTCTCCCTACAGGCCTGGGGCAGCCAGTGGCCTGGTCTCCTCTGGGAAGTGCTGTGGTCAGTACCAGCAAAGGGCTGTGCCTTTTCCCAACATAACCATTACCCTAATACTGGGCCTGGAAGTCTTGGATTATTCCATCCGCCCCCTCGGAACTAATTGCATCTAACTTTCTCTGCCTGGGTTGCCTATTCTCTGTTTTCTCAAGGTGGCTGCCTATTCTGAGTGCGGCCAGCTGGGGCTCCAGATCGAAACAAATTGGTATCAGGTTGCCTTGAGAAGTGTTGCGTTGTCCCTCTCTGTCTCCCTCTGTCTCGGCTTGCCTCCATCAAGAGAAGTGCATCACTGGACACTGAAATCTCAGATAATTGTTCAAAATTTTCATGTATCACAGTCTTTTCCTTGTCTGATCAGCTAGACTCATCAGTATGACCCGCTTCTCTCTGAGAGCGTGTTTGCTGAGTGTTTCAGCTGCTGCTTTCTGTCTCTGGCAGGTGTGGGGACAGATCTGCCATGAGCTGATGGTAGCTGGCCAGCCTCTGTGCTCGTGCAACTTCATCATGTGATTTGCAAAATGAGCTTCCCTGCTCTTCCCAGAGCTTCTCGCTTGTTCAGTACAATCTCTGCACTTTCTCTTTTGATCTTTAGGATCTGACTTTCTCTTCTTGATTGCAGATGAAACGTTGCTAATCAATGTAATCTGCGGAGTGGTTTCAGGAGTGATCTCCTCTGCAATTGCCAATCCGACAGATGTGCTGAAGGTAAGAAGTGTGCGTGGCCAGAGAGAGCTCCTGGCTGGCTGTGGTTTGACATGTAGAAGCTGCTGCTTTCCAGTGAAGATGCATCTCTCCCAGCTGCAGTGAGGTGCTCTCTGAGCCACTGCTGGCATCGGTTCTGCTAATCCAGGTTTTTAATGAATGGGAACAGAAGCCCGGAGCAATAAACAGATTTTTTTTTTTTTTTTTTTTAAAAGTGCAGCTCTTAAAGATCATGAAATCTGTTATGGCAAGGGGTGGAGGCTGTGTTATCTTAAGTGGTTGAGTGGGGTGGTAGCCAGCTATTTAACAGACCTTTTCGGCTCCTTTCCCTTTGGTCACTGTGCTGTCCTTTGCTGATGGTGCCACAAAGTCCTGCCTGTTACGTGGAGTGACCAGAGTCCAGTGGGGACTGACTGGTCCCCTCCATTCCCTGCTGTGGGGCTACTGGGGTCAAGGTAGCTCTGCTCTGAGCAAAGAGAGCCTGGGGAACTTTCCCACGCTTCTCCCTGTGTAGATCAACCTTTCTTGGACTGCTTTCAGAGTGGGAAGGCCTTCCCCACCACTTCTCTGTCTCGTCTGAGTTGCACTGTGCTTCCACCCTGTTGCTGTCCCTGCTCCTTGCCTGTCGTCCTCATTTCCTGCGTGGTTTGCAGGGAGAGGGCACATGGATAGCAGTGTCTGCTCCAAGTTGCTTTGTTGTCCTTTCTACCAGGAGGTCCACTGAGCTGGTATCTCTGCCCTCCTGGGCAGGCGCTGATGTCATCCTGCTGACTCTTGCGTTTCTTTCAGATTCGAATGCAGGCTCAAGGCAGTTTATTCCAGGGTGGCATGATTGGCAGCTTCATCGACATCTACCAGCAGGAGGGTACCAGAGGCCTCTGGAGGGTAAGCACCAGCTGTTGGAACTCCCCTGACTAGCAGCAGAGCTAACAGCTTCCTCAACTCATTTGCTACACCCAGGCACAGCCCTTGAAGAGAACTGTGAACCAAGGGTAGTAGCAAAGTTCTGGTTCTAGTTACCGGACAAACAGAAGCATGTCTGTGGTGGAGATTGGGTCTGTGCTATGGCAGCATCAGCGCTGGGCCAGGCAGACCTGGCTTCCAGGACTGAAGCTGGTGTGCATAAAGCTACAGATACATGAGTGTCCCTTGCACGGACGAGCATTTGGGGTTGGATCCTCTCCAGGGTCTGCCTTAGGAAGGATGCGCAGCCTGATGTATCTTGGAGTCAGTGGGAAGTAACCCTGCATGCAGTGAGCAGGGCAATTTACCTGCCTCTGGATATGAGCAGCTCAGCACCTCCTCATGTGGAGGAAGAGAAATTCTTCCAAGTAACCTGAGAGGCATTAATGACATACGGTAACTTTCTCAAGTTCCAAAGGGATAAATCTGCCCTGTGTCCCCGCCTACCCAGTCTTAGACCCCTTGAAACTTGCCCTCTGAGCATGCAAAGAGTAGGAGAGAGTGGTGGCATTTGGGGAAGCTGGTGATGTAAGGCTCTTGGCCTTGAAGACAGATGAGAGTTACCAGTGCTCAAGCCCTACTGCTTGGATTTTAGCAGTGGTTCTTTGGCTTTTGTTAGAGAACCTCACTTTGTCCTCCATTACGAGTCTTCCATACGCTCAGTTATCCAGCAGTCTGCCATGTCACGAAGTCAGGTATGGTAACTACAGAATCCCAATGCTTTTTTCCAGGCAACAGTCCGATTTCTCACTGTGATGGTCACTGAAGCCTTTTACAGAAAGATAGCTGTTGCAGTGTCCTGTGTGGGAAGGGGAGGAGGAGTCAATCAGCTGCTAGTGTTGACACAATATTTACTTTGAGATTATTTCTGCTCTCTGGACAAAGACACACAAGAGGGGAAGAGAGACTAGAAAAGAAATTAAGCCCTCTGTGTTGCTGATGTGTGCTGCAGAGAGAGATCAGTCTCGAGGTGGATTCCAGTGATCAAGCTAGTCTTGCTGCTCTCTGGTCTGGGACAACCACTGTCTCCTCCCTCCAGTCTTCCCTCACATTGAGGCAAAGATGTTTGTGCTCACCAGTCTCACCAGTTCTGGCATTCATCTTGTGGAGATTTGAGCTGACTGTGCCAGGACTGGATTAGGCAGGAACCCAAGAGGAGACTGTCAGGCACTGCATTAGCGCAGCAGGGTGGGGACAGCAGGAGCCATAAACCTGAAAAGTACTTCTACTTCTCAGAGTTGCTTTGCTTTTGTGTGGTAAGAAAGCTGGATGTCCTGATGGTCTGGCTCATAATGTGGCCACACTGAAGAGTCGCTCCCAGTCCCGGTGATTAGGGGGCTCTCTCATGACACCATGGGTCTCCCTGAATTACTTGGATGGTGTTACAGTTCCTGTGAAATGGCCCAA